AAAAGCAATGCAATTCAAAGATACAGATGTTTGGTGTTAGCCCAATAATGTGTGTGTGTGTGTGTGTGTGTGGTGATTAGTGTAATTAAACAGAATGAAACTTAGTTTGAAAAGGTGTTAAGACTTTGTTGCCCCTTCTAGTGGAAATGGAAGCTGTCTTAGATATACTGAATATGTAGCAGTAATAAACCCAAGCTTATAAAAATATTAATGCTTATTGTTAATTTTGTCTTGATTCATTGATTTTTCAAATTTGCTATTATCCCAGCCCTAATTTGACCATATACCTTTAGATCATGCCTTTATGATTACGAAAAACATGCATTCAGTCAGGCACAAACTTTTTACTGGTACTGCATACATATTTATCTAGAATTGTTCATTTTGTTTATCCAAAATTCTCTTCACAGACTAATGAGCTGCTCTTTTCTTTTGTCTCTCGCTCTCTCTCTCTCACTCTTGCTTTCTCTTTTTCACGCAGGGAACGAGTGAATAAGCGTCGTGTGAAGGACATAGTTAAAGAGTTCACTCTGGTGTGCCGGGGGCTGCATGGTACAGAATACGCAGCAGAGTACTGAACAGCCCAAGTCCAAAGCGATCCAAAACTACAATTCCAAGCAGCCCCCACCGGAAACTCGACACAGACATGAGCAATGCTAGAGAGACAGCCTGACAAACAGATGTTCAGAGCATGCACTGTAAGGACCTGAGGAGGGCGCTCTGCCTCTTTTTTGATCTTTCTTCTTCTCTTTCCTTTCCATCCAGCTTTCGCAAGGCTGTTTCGGGCCCTCTGGAAGGTGGCCAGTGCTGCCTGTTTTGAGCAGCAAAACATTTCATATAAATCCCCTCTCTTCCCTCTCCTCCCCACCTTCACCCCTGCAGCATGTGGATTGTAAACAGTCACCTCCCCTTTTTCACGTTCTCGATCTTCCGTGGCTCTTAGGCTGTTTTCCTTGTGACAATTTGCAGATGTACGAACAAAGAACTAGTGGTAGTTAAATGTTTTATTTTTAAATTTAGAGATACTGAAAGCTAAATGAGTATATACACACATATATATAAATCTATATATAAACACTTATATACCTAGCAAACCACGGGAGGTGTGTGAGTCCTTATAGCTACTGCTACTGACAGAGAGAGGGACCAATGAAGAATGATAATTTTTTTTCCTCTGTGGCTTTATATATATCTATATAATCTACCTAACTACCCCCCACTCACACCATTATTCTGCCAAAACGTTGTGAATCTTGTCATGTGTCTTAGTTTTTTTTATTATTATTATTGTGATTAATTATTTTTGATATGTGAAATAGCAGCACATATTGGGCTGGTAAGAACTGACGTTAAAAACAACACCATTATACTGTACAAACATCTGACGTTGATGATCAGACAGTTGCAGTCATGGAAGACGATACGTTTCTCTACTCTGCTTATGGTGTCCACTGAGGAGAGCTGCTGGGAGCCCAGGACGGCTGTGAAAAATGTACCTGTGAATGTTCCCTGTGTTTTTTCAGAATGTGTGCATAGTTTTCAGAGCATCCGTGAAGAAAGAGAAGCGGTCACGTCCATAACTGTGAGCTGTCCACCCAACACTGTAACGCCAAGCAGAAAATTATTAATAATGTTTTAGAAACATAAACGGTCCTTTTGCGTATGTGTGTGCGCGCACCTGTGCGCATGTGCCTTTGTACACCTGCGTGTGAGGGCTCGTCCTAATTGCAGCCTCTGTAGACTTTCGAGTGCACTTATGAGGAACTGAACACAAACCCTTACTACAAAGTCCCCTTGTTTTTGCTGTTCGAGGCCCCTGAAAAGGACACTGCTGTGGCCAGGCCTCTCTCTCTGTCCCTGTCTACTGCCCGGCCGCTGCCTGCAAACATGTAGCATGTGTGTTTCAAATTTTGGGCGGGGGAATCGGGCATGCAGCAAGCGAATGTGTCGTGAGCATTCAGCAGGTTGAGGATACTCTCCCATCCTGCATTTGTTTACCAGTGGTGGATATGTCTAGAGTAAGGGAGGGGAAGATAGAGGGGGTGACGTGTACATGACTTTTTTTTTCTTTTGTACCTTGTTTTAATTTATTAAATATATCTAAGATGGCATCACTTGACTCGTCTCTGTGTCTTGAATTAAGCCTGAGTGTAAAAAGGACAGTAAAGTAAATACAGCATTAGGTAAATCCTCAGTATCTTATTCAACAGAGACACATATACATTTTCTACATAAACCACAAAGCCCCTTTCAGGTCAGGGATCCCACAAGTTTTGAAATTCTGGAAAATCTGGACAGATAAACTCAAGATCACAAATCATTGTTTCATTCAACATAACTCAGGTTTATTTGTTTATTTGGATTGTTACCCAGTTTTCTCCCTAATTTAGTCATTGCCAAGTCCACCCACTAATAAGGTCTCCCCATCACGCTATGCTACCAAGCTGGGCATGAACCTAGCATGTGTGTCATTCAGGACACATGAAGCCACTCTTTTCGATCTGTCCCCAACACGTCGTCACTGGACAGCTGAACACGCTTGGAGGGGAGCACTAACTGCCAATTCTGTTACATTGGCTAACAGATAGCCACATTAGTTGGCATAATGCTGAGTGATGGGGAAGACCTACCTACCCAGAAAAAACAAGACAAATTATGTATTTATATACATATATAATATTCTCAAACTGTTTTCTCTGTTTTTGACAATTATTTTTTCTGAATTGAGACAGAGAAGAACATGTAGGGTAACTTGGGGGTGAAGCCTCCCAGGGTAAGATGCACTGATCTGGTTGCACTGTCCTGTAAACGTTTCTCCTTAGTAAAATTAGGTCCGAAATTTTTGATAGTGTGATTACACATATTGTCCTTAATGATTTAGGTTGGGTCAACTCAATAAACAAGACTACACTAGAAAATTTGTATGTAGAAATCTGTGGAAATATACTAAAACGTTAGCTTTTATTGATTCTGCTTTTCATGAAAGATCTTTAATATTCTGCAAGACTCTCAAAACACGTAACCAACATATACAGAGATATGAAGCCCTAAAAAAAACAAGAGCTCATCCAAACCTGAACCTCATTAACTCACTAACACGGAGAGCTTTAGAGCAGCGCAGTCAAATCCTCACAAACTGAATTATCAAACAAAGCACAAAAAAAGCCCTTTCGGGGCACTGAAACAACACCACCACCGAAACACAACCCAAATTACAACACTGGGACTCTGAACAGAGAATCTGAACTGGCAGATTGTGTTCACCATCTAAAATAAGAAACAAAGACCGTGATCAGGCACAAGCAGAGCGGCCAATCTAGCCGCAGAAAAGCGCCAGGACTGCCATGAAAAACACTGGTTTTTAAACACCCGGGACGGAGGTCACCATAGCCACGGGATTCACCCTGACGGTAGACCAACCCCCAACACAGAATAACACAATAATCACACACACCTTTACACTAACCAACAGCGACATTAGTAACAACAACAACTCTTCCTAGGAGGGCGCGCGCCTACGGACTGTCACCTACAGTGGGTTGAATCCACAGGGATGGTCATCACTAGCCACACACGTCGTTCTGACAGTAGGGCAACCACCAACACAAAACACACATCTTGCATAGCAGCACCCCATTCCCCGACAAAGAACAGCACAATAAACACACTTTCACCAACAGACAACATTAAACAACAGAAAACGCCCCTTTTCAGAAGGGCGCGCGCCTACCACGAGCCTTTGCTTCCTTGGATACATATTAATGATTTTAATGTTGTCGTTCTTTAGTTTAAAATGTGTTTATGTGTCGTTTGTGTTTCATGGTGTTTTTGTGTTTTGTGTAGTGAAATTTTTGTGGGACGAGTTATATATATATGTGTGTGTGTGTGTGTGTGTGTGTGTGTGTGGGTGAATATCAAACATGAGTATGATCTTTCCCAGTTCTTTTTTTCTGGCCGACGTCACCACAGCCCAGCACAACAGCCCACCTACAACATCAAAAACTGTTTTCATGTTTTTAAGTGTCTCACTGCTGACCTACCCCTGGTGTTGCGTGTGTGTGTGTGTGTGTGTGTGTGTGTGTATACACTGTGTGTAAATTTCATGTTAAATGGACCAAAAGAAACTGCCCAAAATGACTTGGACAGAAGTCTGGTTCCATTGACTTACATTATAAAATAAAGAAGGTTTTTTTTATTTTTCCTGTAAAGTTGAAAGTTGTCGTTTTGGAGATACGAGGTTTTGTTTAGACAATAGCTATACACACACACACGCACACACACACACACACACACACACACACACACATATATATATATATATATATATATATATATATATATATATATATATGCGCAATGTGTTTCTTTACTGCACATATAAAAGTTTAACGTACATTAGTAAAAAGTGTTTTTTTACATTAAAAGTTATTGGCAAAAGCTATGAATTATTATTGCGAACTATTATAGAGAAGGGCCGTGGTTAAAAAAAAAAAAGTTAATGAAATTGCGTTCCCGGTTTTCCCAGTTTCGCCAGTCTATGCTGGGTTTATTCAGCAATTGTTCTCTGCAGTCTCTGTAAAAGTAACTTCTACTGTACGAGGACGCTCGACCTCAGTTTGAGTCACTAACAGCACAATCATGTTTGATTTTGAGAAGCGACCCGTCTTTATATTTCAATCCAAGATCAACTTAAAATTCAATGAGCTGCTCCGTGTCTGAGTTTAAGCAAAGCACAGCTTTTGCAAGTGAATGCAATCGGTTGCATCGTAATGCAAAACATTTGCGAGGGAACGCATTTTATTTGTGAGGAAACGCAAACTTTTTTTTTTTTTTTACCACGGCCCCTTAGGGGCTCCATAAGTTTTTAATAGCAGAGAGTAAGAAGAAACTATTAAGATAGTTAATAGACAGAGCTACACTGAACTGATTGTTGATGGCTCCAGTAGGCGCTGCGCATGCGCACGGAGGCGCGGTTTCGCTCCGAGCGGAAGGTTAGCGCTTGTTCTCTGCACGTGTGTCCGGCTCTGTCTGTCAGGAGCTGTTCTGCTCTGCTGCAGGAGGAGAACCGAGAGCCTCTAACAGACCCCGAGCGACTGGAAGGTGAGGCGCTTCAGTGGTCATTTTTGTCATAGCAGTATAAGAACAGTTCTTAAAAGCCCTGACCAACTTTTCTTCATTTACCAAAGCATAAAACTTTGCCCTGCACTTCGGCTAACTAAGTTAGCTCACTTAGTTACATCTCTTACTCTGGAGTGTAATAGTTCCAGCCTCTTTGTTTGCCTCTGTGTAATAGGTTTATCTGTTCAATGTGGAATATAGGGACTTTACATCGCCTCAGTGATTTTATATAATATAATATAATATAATATAATATAAGCTGTTTTGCTATAGCGCGTTTATTAAAACTGAAGCTGCATGTGTGGTTTAATAACGTTGGCTGTTGTGTGTGACTTGAGTTACGAAAAGGCAGATTCCTCTGCTCGCTTATCAGCTAACTAAGCACTCCTGACTGGGCTGAGCGTCTTGTGATGCAACAGTTAAACAAACAGTTAAGCAAAAGTTGTCTTCACTCTCATTTCATTTCTTCTGCACAGTGATTGGACACTTCGCCTTCCTCTCTCGGAGGAGATTGTGGTCTGAACTGATTTATTAATGTGATTTAAACCTGTAAACTTTGTGAATAAAATATCAGTTTAACAGTTTATGTGAATAGTCCTAAACTCGTCTGTTCTTTTCCACAGAACATTCACTGGCTAGAGTTTGAGTAGCACCACTGCAGGGTTTGTTATCGTGATATTGGTCACCGTCACAGTATCTCTGATCAGTCAGTCAATGAGGACAGGGGGCTGTAACTGAGGACAGTGGGACTGCAGTGTCAATATTGAGCAACCTGAAACTTTATATAGAGGAAGATTCAGTAGTGAAAGTAGAGGTGGGCGATACGGCAAAAATATAGCATTGTGATACTTAAAGACATTGTCATGATATGCAGTATCACGATAATTAGTGGGTCTAAAAATCGAACAATTGGTAAAAATAAATGAACCCAAACTGCAGTTTATGCAGTTACAGCAAACTGCTTGTTAGTTTAATTGATCCTAATCTTGTCTTTCTCGTGCCGCATGCAGTTGTTCAGTGTGGAAGTACTGGTGAGATTCAGGTTATGCTCAGAAAAGCATATCGAGATGTGATTTATCCCAGTAACATATTGCCGTAGGTGAAAGTAGTGAGGTTATTGTCTTCATAAGCTGTCTCTGTCTGTCTCTCGCTCCCAGGATCATGACTGTGTTGCGGTTCTACCGGAGAGAAGAGTCTGAGGGGGGACGGACCCTGAGGAGGGTCAAACAGCTGTATCCGCAGGTCACCATAACGACTGAGCACTGCTACAATGTCGAGCTGAACGGTGAGAGATGGCAGAATAAGGCTGATGTTTGTATAGAGACACTGAGCTTTGGCTGTTTTAGAGATGGAGAGAACAAGAGGGAGTGAAGAACTGAGTCATTCTTGTCTTTCTGAGAGAGAAAAGGTGCAGGTCTAAGTGAGAGCAGCTTGTTTCTGGCTGTATTTTCCTCACATGCTGATTCTCACATGATGTTCTGTCTCTCTCTCTCTCTCTCTCTCTCTAAAATTATTTATAGAGATGTGATTGTAGAATTGTGTCTGACAGTGTATTGAAAGGCTGGCTTCTTTAATGACAATAAAAGGGTTAGTAGTTTACATAATTGAAAGAAAGTAATACACAAATAAGGATCTGCATTAATATACTCTACATGCTGCTTGAAATGTTAATACAGAGACAAGTCTAAGTGTCAAGTATACTCAGCAGTCTTTCTCTCCCTCTCTCTCTCATTTACACATAAATAAATCTCTCTCCTCCTGCCCTCTCTTTGCTGTTTCTCTATTTAACCTTCCCTCTTTTTGTTTTTCGTTCTTTTTTTCTATTCTCTCTCCCCTTTATTTCTCTCTTCTTTCTTTTTCTATTCCACTCTCTTTTCTCTCTCTCTTTCTCTCTCCATTCTCTCTTTCGCTCTCTTTCTCTCACACACTATCTCACATTCTTTTTCTGTCTCTCCCTTTCTCTCTCTCTCTCTCTCTCTCTCTCTCTCAGGTGCTGATTCTCTGAGTAAAGAGCAGAAGGACATCCTGTGCTGGTTGTTCAGTCCTCCTCACTCTGCAGCTCTGTCTGACAAGCCCACTCTCAAAGTAACATCACCAGCAGAGACTCTGGTGGAGATAGGCCCCAGGTACCTAAAGACTACCCTGCTTTAACATATTAAAAAAGGCTCAAATTTAATGCTTCCTACATCGGCAGCAGTGCAGATACTATAGTCCTGACTGCAGACTTGTTTAAACACAGTTTGGTGAAAAATATAAGTTTCACATACTGTTTTCTGTTAAAATGGATGCAAGTATGGATACAATTCAGACTTCAAGGTTGTACATACTGCTGTTTTTATCTATGTGAGGTACGTTTGTCCATTTTTATAGATAAAAGTATGTCATGCAGTATTAGAAAGTCTATTAGAGACAGCTTGGCATGGTTTGAGATAAGTGTGTGTTGACTTAATCATGCAGCTTGCACGATGCTAGTTGGTGGACATCGGCTTCCATTACTTGGTATAGCTGCATTACCTGCAGTGCAAAACTAAAAAAACACTTGAGACACCAAACATTCTCCGCTGACTGAGTGCTAAGTGCTTTATACCTCTTCCCAAATTCAGATCCATGTTTGGATATCTCATTATCTTTTCCCTGTAGGCTGAATTTTTCCACTGCCTGGTCCACAAATGCAGTGTCCATCTGCCAGAGTGCTGGCCTGAAGCAGGTGACCAGAGTGGAGTTGTCCCGCAGGCACCTAATCAAGGTCTGCAGAACCATCACACTTCCAGAGAGCTTTATTACTGCCAGCCAGCCTCAGATTAACTTTCCTTTACCCCATCATTCATCACATGAGTCTTATTATTGAGGCCTTGCCTGAACACTGGGTCATCTTTTGTCCTTAAAGGGTAATTCCACCATTTTCTTTTTCTCAAAATTTCTGTATAATTTAATAATTAAGATGTGAACTAAGGCAACCAATGTGATTTACAATAGAAAAAAGGGTTTAAAGCCTTTAAAAGCCACTTCACAGAAAGTCAATACATGATCAGGAATATGTTGAATGATGACTAAGACATTTTTGTCGATAGTTTTGATAAGAGGTTTTGGCCTAAAACATACTTTTAAGAATCCCTTCATGGTGGAAATTTAGAAAAAATTGGTGGAATTCCCCTTTAAGAAATGCTAACAAATTAGAACAGAACCAACATCCAAGTGAGCTCTTGTGTTTGTCTTTGACCCCACTTCAGACAATAGTTCCCTGTGGTTTGTCAACAGTTGCTCCAATTATTAACACCCTATCTAGTGAGATTTGGTTGTTTCTCAACAGGGTTAGGATTAAGACTAGGGCTAGAAGCAAGGTTAGGGTTAGAGTTGAATTTAGGTTTTGGGTTGAAGATAAGGTTAGCATTAGCATTAGTTTTACATTTAATTAATGAAATAATTAATTTATACATATTTTTTTTAAATGCTGTTGGATTATAGTGCGATTAGAATCTACAAATCATCTAAGGTGTCTATCCAAGTGAGGTTTTACAGTCTATTATTATTTGAAACACTCCCAGTGGCAGACTTTTCACTATTTTAAGATGGTCCTGTGCTTTTCTTGTCAAAGGATGGACAAAATGGGCCAAGAAAGAATGGAGAGATGGAGAAGCTGATTGGTCTCTTGTATGACAGCATGACAGAGTGCATCTACATGAAGCCCATCACGTCGTTCTCTGTGGATGTCCAGCCACAGAAAGTGTTTGAGGTTGACATTCTGCGGAAAGGTCGTGCTGCCTTGGAGAAGGCCAACGATGACCTGGGTAAGTGGTGTGGATTCACTGGAAAGCATTATATTTTTGTCCAGTTTCTTTTGAGTGTAGGATTTTTTTTATTCTTTTCACTAATACATCTCACCAGGCTCAAGAGCCAGAGCTCTGATTGAGAGGAGTGAGACACATTAGGATCACATGACACTCATGATGTGAAGAAGTGTAGATGTCACAGGATGAGGGCTGTTTTAGTTTAATAGGTCATGAGCTCTGTATGTGTGTGTGTCTGTCAGAGTGAGACAGAGAATGAGAGAGAGAGTGAATGAATGTGATAAGGGGGTGAAACGGTTTCAAGAACAAGTTACACTAATACCAAAAGATTAATAAGAGAGCGGTTTAGCCTTTTCGTTATATTTTAGCCTGTTTGGCCTGCTACCTTTTAGCCTGTTTGTTAAGTAAAATCTAGTTTTCAACCCCTCAGTTTAATCAAAACTAGGCTCTTAATTTATCTATAAATACACTCAGTGGTCCATGCAAGCAGCATTACAGTCCATTCACAGCGCAGTGTTTTTAGTGAGAATTAGATTGACAGTCATGGGTGGGTGAAGTAGTAGGTGATGTGCCAGTTCTTTCAGGACACCAGTGAAATTCTTCCTTAGGTATGAGTTTTTGTTATAACAGTTACACTGATATGGTACAAGTAAGTGTAGAAAACATGACACACAAACAGTGAAAACCACACTAACATTAGCCTGTTTAGCTAAATGGACGGATGTTTCAGTTGCATTTCTAATAAAAATAAAAGGTGAAAACATTTGCACACCTGCCGCATTGGACTCCGCGCAGCGAAAATCTGCATCTGCATTGGCATCCTGCTGAAAATAACGTGCTTGAAGGTGCAGCAGTAATTTTTTTTGCATCCAGTGTACAAGCGGTTTTAGCCAAACATGGACAATAGTTGCCGCCCTTCTGTTTCTTGTACAGCCTGAGAAGCTGCCTGGTTTTGTCAGCTGCCAAAGACTACGCTGCGGTCAGGGCCTTATGTGCAAAACAAGCTATGCACAAGCTGATGCTGATATTGTGAATGACTATGATATTTTCCAAATTCCAGCAGTGTCTGACTGCTTTAAGTGGCACAGCAGTTACCTTCAGGCACCGGTCCAGGTGGCATAATGTAACTGCTGTTCTATTCAGGGTTGAATGGAAAATTTCAACAAAAAGCTACTGAATGAGAAGCCAACTTTGAACCTTGTAGAAATTCAGACATCACTGTTGTTCCTGTGCCTGCGGTGCTAGTGTTAGAGAGCAATATTGTCAATATCGTTTTAATATTATATATTTTATTAGAAAATATGTGTATACCAGAACTGTCAGAAATTTTAATTACATCATGATGCAGTTTTTTTGGCCATACCACCCACTACTAGGTGTGCATATATTGAGTATCATATGACAGCTTTGAACACTACTTAACCAGTCAGGCTTGGCATGAGTCTGTTACCTTGTGTCTCTCACGTGTATAACCATCTGTTTCTTGTCCTCATAGGATAGCACACTGCATCCTGACTGCATATTTAGAAAACATAACATTTGTGAATTTGATTTCTGAACCCATCTGTCATCTTGAAAGTAGCTTCATCCCATCCTGAACCTAGAACCAAAAGCTGTACCTGACATTGTTGTTTTCCTGCTGCTTGCTGCTAATCTTTTACCTGATACTACTTTTTAACCTTGGTTTATAATGTGTCTGTACATGTGTGAACAGGTTTGGCCTTTGATTCCTGGGATCTGGACTACTACACAGCATTGTTCCAGAGGGTGAAGAGAAACCCCACCAGTGTAGAATGCTTTGACTTGGCCCAATCCAATAGGTGAGTGTGCGAGTGTTTGTCATTATTTCTGTTTGGTGCATTCCTTTCACATTTGTAGGAACACACAAACGTTTTTCAGTCTAATCTCTGTGTCGCATCTGTAGTACAAAATCTATTACCATGGACAATAATTTCCAACTGATGCAAAAATGGTGCTGAAGCACATAGAAACATGTTTAAATGATTGTTTGTGGTAAAGGGTCGTATGCTGCATACAGATTTGTTTGGAAAAACACAGTATTATTTAAATGGATATAGTCCAAAAAGTGTAATATTATATTTCCCTTCTGTGGTCTTACCTGCAGTGAGCACAGTCGCCACTGGTTTTTTCGGGGGCGGATGGTGATTGATGGGCAGGAACAGAAGGACACGCTCTTCAGCCTCATTATGGGCACCCAGCAGCATAGCAACCAGAATAATGTGATCAAGTTCTGTGACAACAGCAGGTGAGCAGGTTGGAAGTGGTAGTGTCTATACCACTAAGCTTGCTGCTGGCACACTGCATGGTTTGGCATATAACAGAGCTGCTCTTGGCATTAATTTTCACAAAGTCACTGTGGCATTAAAGTCATTGTCATAGAAAGTGCAACTTGGCTTGTGTGTGTGTGTGTGTGTGTGTACAGCGGCATTAAAGGCATGGAGCTGGAGTGTATGTTCCCTACTGACCCTGCGCAGGCCAGCTGCTATGAGACCAGACGCACCACCAGACACGTCATCTTCACTGCAGAAACTCACAACTTCCCCACCGGTCAGAGCAGGAGCACATTTACGCTTTTATCTTCTTCAGAGGATATTAAACTCCCTTTCATCACTAAAATTTCATTTTTCATGTGCTTAACACTTACGCTATCTAACGCTAAGCTCTTCCTGTATACCCCCTAGTGGCTGTTCTGCTGGTGAAATAAAAAATGACTGATATTTTTAAATAATATATATCAAATAAAACAGTTTTTCCTGTTGCTCTAAGGCACTGATGACTCTCTGTATGTGAAATGTGACATTGTGTTAAGCTGCTAGTGAGCAATGATGTGCGAACAGGGAGGTGCGAGAACCCCCTGCTGTAAAAGCAATTCTCCACAAAGATGGCCAGGCCAAGATAGCACAGCTGCGACTTTGACTTGGTATCAATCATGTACAGCTGCCACATTAAAATGGTTTTTATATACTTATAGATATTGATTTGCTTGCTCACCTTCAAAACCTGAAATCACAAATTACACATTTCCAATAAAATACATTCCATCAACATAGGATAAAAATTCATAGTTCAAGTGGGGGACGTTTTTCAAAACAGGTGGAATTAATTTTTTATGGCCGCTGTAAAAAAGCCTTAATTCTCAAAAAATGCAAAGCAGGTTTTAAATGTGTAAATGCATATAAATGCTGTTTTTCAGATTGAGTCTGAAACCTAAAGACCATGACAATTGACCAGTACATTTAAAGATATATAATTAAGGTTGATCCATAAAGTATGTAATAAAAAAGTACATCAGATGTGTAGATTTCAGTGTTAAAAACCGCTGTGAAAATGTATTTGAGAGAGTTCTTTCTGAATTCTGAATGCTGATATGAAAAGGCAGATGTTAGCTAGAACACTTTGTAGATCCTCACGTTAGTGATGTGCATTGTGTTCTACACAGGTGTTGCTCCCTTCAGTGGGGCCATCACAGGTACCGGTGGACGAATCAGAGATGTGCAGAGTGCTGGCAAAGGAGGTCACGTGATCGCTGGCACTGCTGGGTACTGCTTTGGTAACCTCCACATTCCAGGTGGGTGTGGCTTGCAGAATGTATTTCTTGTACCTTAATTGAGAATTGGAATTTTAAAGAGTCACAGGTCTTAAAAAGTCTCTTTATATTTGTTTCCTTATTATTGTTTGTAGGTTTTACCCTCCCATGGGAGGAGGCTGATTGGGAGTACCCCTCCAGCTTTGCTCCTCCTCTGCAAGTGGCTATCGAAGCCAGTGATGGAGCCTCAGACTATGGCAACAAATTTGGAGAGCCAGTGCTGGCAGGTACAGTGCTTTCTGTCTTGTTTGCTTCCTCTGAATTAGCAGAAACATTCGGTTGAATTCAAAATATACGCTCAGTTCTTAACAGTTTACTTTAATTGTTGTCTTAAATGTTTATTGATTTCTTTTTTTTTATCTGTGTTGCTAAAGGCTTTGCCAGATCTTTTGGGATGCGATTGGCCAATGGGGAACGCCGGGAATGGATCAAGCCGATCATGTTCAGTGGAGGGCTAGGCTCCATTGAGAATAATCATGTGAAGAAAGAGGAGGCAGAGCCAGGTAGGGAAAAGGCACAACATGGATCATTATAGTCAAAAATGAATTCCTTATGGTTTCATTCTCGTAGCCCATATCATTTTCATAACATAAATAGCACTGTGGCTAATAAGTTACATTATTAGCTTCTGTTTAAATGGGTGTTACTCCTGTAATCTGAATTTCTGTTTTTTTGTGGATTAGGTATGGAGGTGGTAAAAATAGGAGGTCCTGTGTACAGGATTGGTGTAGGAGGAGGAGCTGCATCTTCTGTACAGGTAGATACAGACTTTATTTTCATTAACATTTAGTCATTCAATAGAAACTCCTACCCAGGGCAACTAGCTGACCTGTATTGCTTATTGCTTTATTAAAGGTGATGGTTAAGGTGAAATGTGTGACGAATGACGCGTCTGTTTGTGTTTTTTGTGTATGTGCAAGGTGCAAGGTGATAACTCCAGTGAGCGGGATCTGGGTGCAGTGCAGAGAGGAGATGCTGAGATGGAACAGAAAATGAATCGGGCTCTCAGGGCCTGTCTGGAGAGAGCATTGGGGAACCCCATCTGTAGCATCCATGACCAGGGTGCTGGAGGAAATGGTAAGTAACAGTTAATGTGTAATGTGTGGTTTCAGTGCTGGCTTTTGATTAAACAGTGATGAAATCTTTAATACATCATAGTATTTACTTTTACAAACCTTTTGACAAGAGAGTGAATTTGTCCTGTAACATAGGGAACGTGTTGAAGGAGCTGAGTGAGCCTGCTGGAGCTGTCATCTACACCAGCAAGTTTAAGGTGAGCTTGTATGTAAGGACTTTGTTACACAGTGTGAAGACTTTTACTAGCTAAGCTATTCACCACGTCTGTCCTTTTTATCCTACAGAGAGGAGACCCAACCCTCAGTGTTCTAGAGCTGTGGGGGGCAGAGTATCAGGAGAGTAATGCTCTCTTGCTCCGCCCATCTGACCGGAGTTTCCTGGAGAAGGTGTGTCAGAGGGAGAAATGCCCCGTCGACTTTGTGGGCAAAATTACGGGTGATGGCAAGGTGAGTTTGAACACTGTGGAGTTATTGTAGCACAACTTTCCCCAAGTTGGGTGCATTTCCAGATTTACGTTTTAAACAGAAGGACTCACAGGTTAACTAGTTTAGGGTTTGTGAGTGTTACCTACTGCCTGATGGTGAACTCCTTGTGTTAGCATCTGTTCCCAGTTACTACCACAAACAGTATTCACATGTTTGTTCCTTTCAGATTGTTCTTGTGGATGATTTGTCTAACCAAGGTGGTGGAGTGGATGGTGGGCGGTGCCCTGTGGATCTGGAGCTGGATTGGGTGTTGGGGAAAATGCCTCAAAAGGTGAGAAGGAGTCTGAAAACTCAAACGCTGAACGCTTTGTAAACAGAGGCGTAAAAAGTACAGAGAAACTGTACTTCTGTGAAAGAGATCATATTAAAATTAAAAGTATGGAACCAAAAATATACTTGAGTGAAAATCAGACATCATCTATGTTTAAACATACTCAAGTACAGTACTGTGCAAAAGTCACCCAAGCAAATTGTTTAAAACCATTTATCTAGAAAATAAGTATGTTAATGTTTATAAAACATCAAATAACATGATCTTAGAATAAATGCAAACTATTTGTATCTTTTAGGGTAAGTTTTAAAGTTCTGCTACTAGTTTTTAAGGCTCTAAATGACCTTAAAGCACCACTTACATCACACAATGTCTGTCTGTTTATGTTCCAGCACGAGATCTTAGATCTGCACATACTGACCTTCTGCAAATACCTTCTGTAAAATACACAGAACAGAGAATGACATTTTTTAGTTATGCATCTAACCTGAAGAGCTCAGTTCCACCTTCTATTTGACAGTCAACCTCAGTGCTCACTTTTAAGAAACATTTGAAAACATTTGAAATCGTACTTAATCAAAATGATACCTCTCGTTTGGTATTTATGTTTTCAATTTGAAGTCATAATATCTTCTGTTATTGTTGAGCTTCATTACTTCTCTGTAAAGCACTTTGAACTTCCACCTTTATGAAATATTTATTTTATTATTATTATTATTGTTATTGTTATTGTTATTATTGTTATACAAATTGTTGTGTTTTTAAAACCATGAAATGAAGATTAGTTCAGGAGCTCCCTCTGGTGGCTGTTTTGGATATTTCCATTAAGTATTATTTGAATGATAAATCTGTACGATTGTTCATCTGTTTTCTCCAGCTTTTCCACTGTAATACATTAATACATCCTACAAACTTATTTAATGACCTCTCTCTCTCTCTCTCTCTCTCTCTCTGTAGGAGTTTGTGCTGGACTGTATAGCATCCTCTCTGCAACCTCTCTCTCTCCCTGCAGACCTCTCTGTTCTACCAGCTCTAGAGAGAGTCCTCAAACTGCCTGCAGTGGCCAGCAAACGCTACCTCACCAACAAGGTAAACAAGGTCACATTTGCACGACTTGATTGCTTGTGAAAACAATGAAAACAAGGTTATTGCCCATTAAACAAATGACACAAAGTGAGATACCATCACTGTCAGAACTCTATATGCATTTGTTTTCCACTTTTTAAAACAATGCTGTTTTTGACTTTTCCTGTTACCATTTTGGAGATACAAGGTTTTGTCCCAACAGTGACGATATGCTACTGTAGGCTAGATATAAAAGGTACAACAGTCCACTGAGGCTTCCAATACTGCAGTACTTTGAAAACACAGGTATTTAAGCGTGTTTATCCATTAAATGCTTATCCACTTTTCTTGTCAGGTGGATCGCTCTGTGACTGGATTGGTTGCACAGCAGCAGTGTGTAGGACCTCTCCACACCCCATTAGCTGATGTGGCCGTGGTTGCCCTGTCCCCCTTCAGTCTCCAGGGTGCTGCCACAGCAATTGGGGAGCAGCCAATCAAAGGCCTGGTTTCCCCAGCAGCAGGCGCTCGAATGGCTGTGGGAGAGGCCCTCACTAATCTGGTGTTTGCCCAAGTCACTGCTCTCAAGGTAAGTAATTAAAGTCTAGTTATTTGAATAATGCTAATGCATGCTTTAAACATGCATTGGGAGACGATAAGGCTAAGATGTTGAATGCCTAATAAATATGTCTGCTGATAACTCAAACTGTATGTTTCTGGTTTCTCTTAGGATGTGAAGTGCAGTGGGAACTGGATGTGGGCAGCGAAGTTGCCAGGTGAGGGGGCATGTCTCTGGGAGGCGTGTCAGGCCATGTGCAAGGTCATGGGCGAACTGGGCGTGGCTGTAGATGGAGGAAAGGACTCCCTTAGCATGGCAGCTCGTGTCAGCGGAGAAACCGTTAAGGCACCAGGTGTGTATGTGCATGAGTGAGTGAATGTATGCTATATGGCCAAAAGAATGTGGTAGTATTTGCAGCTATAACAGCCTTCAGTCTTCTTGAAAAGTATTGAAAAGTTGGAAGTGAAGGCTGAATGTCACAATCGATGTGCTCAGTGGAGTTAAAGGCAAACTATGAGAGCCAAAATAATGTTTTGAATTTTGTAACTTTATTTATGTACAGTGTTCTGAAAAAGTACTTGCCCCTCACCTGATTTCTTCAATTTTGCGAATTTGTCACATTGAATGTTTCAGATCATCCAACTAATTTTAATATAAGATAAAGACAACACAAGTAAACACAAAATGCAGCTTTTAAATGATCCTTCCATTTATTGAAGATAAAGATTTATTCAAAGACTATATCCCCCATATGAGAAAGTAAGCCCCCTAAACCAAATAACTGGTTGTGTCACCCTTGTCAGTCGCGATGATCAGACGTTTGTGATAACTTGCTGTGAGTCTTTTGCATCGCTGAGGAATTTTGTTCCACTCTTCTTTGCAGAATTGTTTTCATTTGGCTACATTGGAGGGTTTTGAGCATGAACTGTCTGTTTAACGTCTTGCCATCTCATCTCAATTGGATTCAAGCCATGACTTTAGCTCAGCCACTCTGAAACCTTTGCTTGTGTGCTTCGGATCATTGTCCTGCTGCATAGCCCAGTTGAGCTTTAGGTCACAAACTGGTCGGCGGACATTCTCCTAAAGGATTTTCTGATAGAAAGTAGCAGAATTCATGGTTCCATCAATTATGACAAGTCATACAGGTCCTGCAGAAGCAAAGCAGGCCCGGATCACACGACTGTTGGTATGATGTTCTTGTGGTGGAATGTGGTGTTAGCTGTACACCGGATGTAACAGGACCCATGTCTTCCAAAAATCCACAGAATATTATCCCAAAAGTCTTGGGGGTCATCTAGATGTTTTTTGGCAAATGTGAGAGAAGCCTTTGTGTTCTTTTTGGTCAGTGGTGGTTTGCGCCTTGCAGCTCTCCAATGGATGCCATTTTTTGTCCAGTGTCTTTCTTATTGTGGAGTCGTCAACATTGACCTTAACTGATGCAAGTGAGGCCTGCAGTTCTTCAGATGTTTGTCTGGGTTCTTTTGTGACCTCCTGGATGAGTCGCCGATACGCTCCTGGTGACTTTTGGTAGAAGGTTCACCACAGTTACAAGTTTTTTCCATTTGTGGATAGTGGCTCTCACTGTGGTTGGCTGGAGTCCCAGAGCCTTAGCAATGACTTCGTAACTCTTTCCAGACTGGTAGATTTCAGTTACTTTGTTTTGCATCTGTATTTGAATCTCTTTAGAACGTGGCATCATGTGCTGCTTTTTGAGACCTTCTTGTCTGCTTCACTTTGCCAAACAGGTTCTATTTTAGTGATGTTTAGATTCACCAGGTCTGGGAGTAATCATGCCTGGGTGTGGCTAGTAAAATTGAGACATAAAATCATTTGAATTTCATCTTTTGATTGACTTAGTATGAATTTGAGTTTGGTTGATTTAGTAGCTAAGGGGGCAAGTACTTTTCCACGTAGGGCCTGTTAAGGCTGTGCAGCATTTTTCCTTTAATAAATGAAATCATCATTTAAAAGCATTTTGTGTTTATTTAGGTTATCTCTGTCTAATATTAAAAAGTAGTTTCATGATCTGAAGCATTCAAGCATGAAGAACATGCAAACATAGAAGAAATGGAGAAGGGGCAAATAGTTTTTCACAGCACTGTAAGTGAAGGCATAAGAAAAAGGATTGCATAAGTAAAAGTGCCAACCAGTAACAGCGAGGGACAGTGTGAATTAAATAAAATTACAACAGAGTTTTTCCCCCATATGCGTTATTAATATGTGTTCTACATCTATTCTGAGTGCATGCTGAATATAATACTTTTTATGTATTGTAATGGATACTGGTAATGGATGCAACATGTAATAGTAAATTTAGCACAATGTATTCAGTCATCACTACTTTATTCTGCCCAACACTGTACTTGTGTGTGTGTGCACACTTCAGCATACGTGTATATGCGTCAGTTCAAGTTAGCTAACCTAACACCTCTAATTTTTCTTTCTCAGGCTCTCTGGTGATTTCTGTGTATGCTGTGTGTCCTGACATCACTGCTACTGTCACCCCTGACCTGGATGACCCAGAAGGCAAAGGTTAGTCTTGCATGATAGGGACTCTGTGCGTAAGCTCTTCAGAAGAGAGCTCTAGCCACCAAGCCTAGTGATCGTGGATAGAATGAATGACTGGATCTCTCTCCTTCTGTACTTTCCTAGGATGTTAAAGAAAGTGGGCTTTTTCAGACTAAGAGTTTTCAGCTTAATCTGTGTGCTGCGTCTGTCGAATCTGTTCAGTTACTGCAGACAGTGATTTAGTAAAAGAACAGAATATCCCTGTGTGCTTATATGCAGAAAACCCATTATGCTAAAAACCTCTTCCTTTGATTTCTTTTATAAATGGTTTTTCTTTTTGAGGCAGTGAGTTTTGTGAAATCATTTGTGGCCGATGAAGATTAGGCTGAAAAATTCTGTTGTATTCTTTAAATAACTTTCTGTAAGTGCACTCTAGAAAGCATGTTAATACACTATCTGACTGTACTATATGGGAGCTTGAGCAACGGAGAAGTGTGCAGGTCTTAGGATTTCTGGGGTTGCCCTTGTCCATATATAGTCTTTATACATTGATAGGGTATGTTTTTGTGCACTAAATATGGGGGAGTCATCTTGTAAATGGGATCCCCTTATGTTCAGCAAGAAACTATTTATCTCAGCAACAAGTGTTATTCAGCAATAATAATACTATATTAGAATGGATGCAAATAAACATAAGTACAATAATGTGTAACAGGATTTATTGTTTTTACATTTTTTAAACATCTTGGTCGATTTGTGAAATTCCATCTGCTGATTTTATTGAATGAAGGATTATTGATAAATGGGCATTGAATGGTAGCTGTAAATACTGGAATTTCTGAATGAGAGCTTTGGAAATGGTTAAACTAACACATTCACACACACAAAATCACAATGTTCACTGCCCAAATAGGCTTCAAATCATGTTCCTTGTCTTTTGAGTGGAGAACAAAGAGGCCATATAAGCGTTTCTATATCAGTGCTTTATATGTTTTGACATACCTCTGATTTTTTGGCAGTCTGTTTGTATGAATGAGAAAAAAATGGATATAAAACGCTTGACTCTGTCATCTGTCAGGTGTGCTGCTGTACGTTCCAGTGAGTGCAGGTAAATACAGGCTGGGTGGCTCTGCACTAGCTCAGTGTTATGGTCAGCTGGGAGACTGCAGCCCTGATCTGGATCACCCTGACCTGCTCTCCACCTGTTTCAGCACCACCCAGACGCTCATTAAGGGTGAGTAGTAACTAAGGATATATTCTCTATAGCCCAAGTTTGTTTTTATTTCAGCGTCGTTTTTGTTCTCCTAGTTTTTACAGTGGTGAATCTAATGATACTGTCTGTCTTGTAGACCGTCTACTGAGCGCAGGACATGATGTCAGCGATGGAGGACTCGTTTCTTGTCTTCTGGAGATGGCTTTTGCAGGGAATCGTGGGCTAGAAGTGAACTTGCCCTTTGAAGGGGCTGGAGGTTTGTATAACATGATTCAAACATGAATATCTGAAACTTAAGCCTCACTCACTTCAGGGCATTAGGTAAGCACCTGTCTGTCCCTCTCTCTGTCTCAGTGATGGAGGCTCTGTTCTCAGAGGAGTTGGGCCTGGTGTTAGAGGTGTGTGAGAGTAACGCAGCCAGTGTGTGTCAGCGTTACACAGACGCTGGACTTGTCTGCCACAGGATCGGCACTACCTCCGGTTTTGGACCCGACTCTAAGGTGAGGTGTCCTTTACCAAAACCTTCTCTGCACTTCTGCAGGCCTACCTCTTTGACTGAATTTAGATGGACGGTCTAAGCTTGCAAATATTTTGTTTGCACAGTGTGTTCTTTTTTTTCTTTTTCTTTTTTTTTTATGCTTGCTTAAACTGTCAGGGCCTATACTTAAATTTCTTTACCCTTAAACTTCTCAAGTAACTACATGACCTAGTTTTGTAGCAGCTGAATAATGTATTGTAATTACTGGAGGGTACATTTTTAGATTGATAATGGAATAATAAGCCTGCGGTTGAGGGGGTTAAAGTCAAAACAACTGCCAAAAAATGAATCGTATCTGCAGGATCCCGAATGTCACAACTGGTTAGGTGCCTAAGCCATTTGTGGCCAGGAGTCCAAGACAGCAAAGTTGGCCTCACTCTCTCAGGGTGGGCAGGATGGCCCTCTCTCTCCCCCCATAGATACTAGCCAACCTGTGCCTCTATTAGCTGACTTAACAGAATTGGCAGTTAGTGTTCTCCTTCAAGCATGTTCAGCTGTCTAATGTCATTGCAGTAGCAGCAGTTGGAAAAGATGTAGTGGCTGACATCACATGACTCAAGTAGGCAAGTGCTAACACTCACCCTCCCAGCTTGGTAGCGTCGTGTGATAGCAGGTGGAATTGGCCATGACTAAAATGTGGAGGAAATTGGGGGAGAGAAATCCCTCTTACCTTAATTTTAACATGTTGAGGAATTACCTACAATTTGAGGTGTTAGGAGAGCTTTTATATCAATGACTAAGTCTGTTAAGGACAAATAAACTGGGCTGATGATAGTTATGTTGATATTGTTGTTCTCCAGGTCAGGGTGAGCCTGCGTGGACAGGAGGTGCTGAACGAGCGTCTGCCCACTCTCAGGGCGTTGTGGGAAAGCACAAGCTTCCAGCTGGAGCGTCTGCAGGCCAATCCGCTCTGTGTGCAACAGGAAGAAGAGGGGCTAGCCACTCGCACCCAGCCATACTTTAAACTGACCTTCGACCCTGCCCAAACACCCATAATAACAGAGCTGGGTTAGTTGATAAGAAGTGAAGGCACTGCTAAGTTTCAAAAACTGCAAACAACAGCTGATTGATAGATTGTTTTCCTCTAGTAGTCAAATTAAATACGATGTACTCATGTTGTTGCACAGCTGGCCAGAAGCCTCGTGTTGCAGTGGTCCGGGAGGAAGGCAGCAATGGGGATCGAGAGATGGCTGCGTCTTTGTTTATGGCTGGATTTGAGGTAGACGAACACTAAAGCAAACACTTTGTGTGTAATTGAGCCCAAACACAAATTATTACGACATAAAATGGATTTGTACTTGTGCAGCTTCGTATTAGCGCAGCTCCAAAAGTTTCTAAATGTGTCGCTTTCTGTAGGTTAAAGGGTAAAATCCAGTGACTGGACATTGTGTTCTACTATCTGCAGGTATGGGATGTAACAATGCAGGACTTGTGCTCTGGAGCCACAACCCTTGACCCCTTCCGAGCTGTTGTGTTTGTGGGTGGTTTCAGTTATGCTGATGTGCTTGGATCAGCCAAAGGTGAATCAATGTGAACCTTACACAGAGAAACACACACTCACCACTAGGTCTGTGTTCAAAACATTGATATCACATCATAAAGGGGCTTCTGTCAATATGCATATTGATATAGTGACAGCTTTATTTATGAATTTACTTTTATTTAAAACAGATTAACTGCATTCAAGTTTGAGAGTACAACATCCAACATGTGGCAGATATGTACTCTAATTGTCAGTGTTTAGCTCTTTATTCATTATTGTTTGTGTTAATTCGTTAGTTTATTGTCTGCATAAATCATGTACTTAAATAATCTTTTAAAAACCATGTCTAACTATTGTTAACACATGTATGATCTTTATGTGTTAAAGTTAGTTTCATTTTCACAGGCATTGTTCAGTTTGCAGTTGTAGTTATTAGTATTAGAGGTTATATCAGGCTGCTGTGATTAGCCGTTAGCCGTTTTGGTTACATGTTTTTAGAGTTGTTTCAAGTTGTAGCTCAATTCTGCAGCAGTCATTCATGTAATGTGAGATGCCACATGCAAGAACTTTAGCATTCTCTATATTGTCTTCAGATGAATGCATGTTGTTTGTCAAACTGTCTTGCTTTTCTCATTAGGCTGGGCAGCCACCGTGACCTTTAACCCACGTGCCCGAGAGGAGTTTGAGCGTTTCCGGCGTCGTGATGACACCCTGAGTCTGGGGGTGTGTAACGGCTGCCAGCTCCTGGCTCTGCTGGGCTGGGTGGGGGAAGCACAGGATGGAGGTGAGAAAAGAGAATTAAAGATTGCGCTAAGGAGTGTGTCAGTAGTCATCAGCTATGTTAGCATTTTAAAAGAACACTCCAGTGTTTTTTAACCCGATTTCTCTCTGCTGCATCTTATCACGTTTCTGATTATTGATGCGTTTTTTTGTACCTGTTGAAAAAACAGAAAATCTGTTGACTTAAACCACATTTATAACAGAAATCGATAGGATGGTGCCAAAAAGGTGACCCATTGACTTCTGTTATAAGTAGCCTGAACAGGTTTTCTGTTCTTTAATCAAGTACAGAGAAATTATTATCTGAGGTAATCAATCATATGCTAAACTGGTTCATAGAGATTAGGTTTAAAGATGCTGGACTGTTCTCCTTTAAGTAGGTGTTAATGCATTAGTATGCACAGTGCTGTGACGCTCTCATGATGAGACATTCATAAAGGTCATTTCATACATTACTTTCATTAATAGATTGCCCTCTCCCCTTTTCCTTCCCTCCTTTTCTTTTGCCTCTTTCTCTTGCCTATACATGTGCTCTCTCGCTTTTCATCTCTCTCTCTCTCACAGGCTCTGAGGTGTCCCTGACCCATAATAAGTCAGGGCGGTTTGAGTCTCGGTTTGTCAGTGTTGGTATTCTGCCATCTCCATCTGTCATGCTCAAGGGCATGGAGGGATCCGCTCTGGGCGTGTGGGTTGCCCATGGAGAAGGTGAGACTTCTGTCTACACTAAAAATGACCAGCGAAGGGTCACTTTGACGATGTTTCATGACGTGAATGGATCATTTTTATGAGAAACTATTTCCAATGTGTCTAGTTTTTTTTATAGTATTTAAACAAATCCAAGGCATAATAATAACACTGTTTAATATCATGCTTGCGTTTACAGCCTCACATAATCATTTGAACACCATATCAAAGCTTTAATATTAGTAACATTTTGATCCTTCCACTCACATATAACATTTGTAAAAAGATAAAAAGGCTTAACTGAAACATATCAAACACTAAAGCCCTAAAGTTAATCATTACAAGTAATTTTTCATTAAGTCACCTCTAATATACAGTGGAGTCTAAAAGTATGAGAGTACTAGTGAAAAGGCTTTGCATTTTGCATTCTTTTCTAATTTATTACAAATTTTTCCATTATCAATTATACTGTATTATCAACATAAGTGCATGAATGTCAGAATTTTTTTGTATTCTTGTTATGTCCCTTTTTGCTTTAATAGCGCCATGCACTCGAGCTGGCGCCACAAGTTTATGGAAAATCCTCTGATGAGTAGATCAAATCCACCTGAAAGTTTTCTGAACAAGAGCTTCAGTGGACGTGATTGTACTCATAAAAAAACCTTTTTGTACAAAAGCATGGTCAATGTGAGGAATTGACTTAAGTTTGAATAGTGACCTAGAAACAGTGAAGAATATTTCTTTTTTGTACTTGTTATACACTTTCTTTGCTTTAAAGTTTTCAAAATTCTAAACTGTTTGTTGTGTTTTTCCAGGTTTAAATGGGGGAAAAAAAATCCCAGATTTTTAATGTGGTCTTTTTTAATGTGAAGTTTAGTTTGGCTCACATTAAAAATAGCCTGTTCCAGTGGTTCTCAACCCCATTTTTGGACAATTTCTGCATTGCATATTTTAGTGTTTTTCCTTCTTTAACACAGCAACTTGAATAATGAGCCTTAATGAGATTATTAGGTAGATCGAGTGGGTTAGAGCATTAGTGTAAACACCAAAATATGCAAAACAGGAGTGTTCTGATACCAGGGTTGGGAGCCACTGGGCTATTCAAACATTATAATCTGATCTAGCAAACAAGAAACCCAAGTCTAATCCTACTACACATCTTAGAGTATAGCTGTAGCTACAGTGCCCCTTAATGAAGCAGAGCTCACTGTAATCACCACCTTTCCTGCTCAGGTCTGATGCAGTTCCGCTCTGCTGAGGCCCAGGACAGGCTCGTAAGTGCCTCTCTGACACCCCTGCGCTATGTAGATGACTCAGGAGCCCCCACAGAGACCTACCCCATGAACCCCAACGGTTCTGCACTGGGCATAGCAGGCCTCTGTTCAGCTGATGGCCGTCACCTGGCCATGATGCCCCACCCGGAGCGTGCTGTGCTGGGCTGGCAGTGGGCCTGGGCCCCTGCGCCCCTCAGGGCCTCTCTGGAGCCTTCACCTTGGATCCACATGTTCCACAATGCTGCTGCCTGGTGTCAGACCACTGGAGAGTGATAGAGTTCCTGCACTGTGGCAGTAAAGTTGCCTGGGCCTGGTGTATTGTTACATCTAAGAAAGTGCTCTGTGACCAGCCAACTCTTTGTATGGAGGTTTGAGAGAGAGTGTTCTAAAGTTTACATAGTGCACAAGGCTGTGTTTCTACACCCATACAAATGATCTAACAAAGGCATAAATAACAAAAAAAAAAAAATAAATAAATGAGTTTTACTGTGTATTACTTAATTCCAGGTGAAACAATATGTATGATGTCATGTCACTTAGCCAAAGTCTAACTAGATGATATTTGTTTTGCTTAAATGTGACTTGCACTATAGCATTAAGTGATGAGGACCAAAATGTCTCGGATATCTCTGTGTTTTTAAATAGTTAAAAATGTTACCATCAGTGTTACAGCCTCATGCAGCTGTCACAAAAAAAAGTGGAAGCTTTCATCTTATTTTCATCTGCATTTTGGGTGTATCTGCGTGAGTTGTTGGTGCTTTCTTTGTTACTAGGCCACATTCTCTGAAGAACTGTAGGGAGCACTTGATATCATTATACATAATTAGATGACAGTAGCTTCTAGGTGTAGAATTAGTAGCATGGCAGCAGTGGACAAATCCTGGTTTTGCTGAAGGTATAGACCTGTGAAGTCAGGTCAGTCTGAAGTTGGCGTCATGCCCATAGTAGCAACTCTGTGTCTCAACTGGATTTATCTATGATAAAAGTGAGTGGGATTTTCACAAACTGTCACTATTGCACTGTTTTAAACAAAAAGGTTCAAAACCTGATACATTTTGTTCTACGTGCATTTTTCCACCCTGGTTCCTCTGAGTAATGAGGCTGTTAAGGAGTCAACAAATTAACATTGCTACATCCATGCTAATAGTGAGCTACTGTATATTAAAATGATGTCACATGAAAATAAGTCTAATATTAAACTTCACCACTGTTATATAAAAACACTAGGTAATCTTAATGGGCTCCACTATTGTCAAAGCGACTTATCTACTACATCTGATGAAGGTTGCTGGTTTGTGTGGTGTATTTTGGTGAGGTTGCCAGTCTTACAATGTCAGTTCAGTGCACAGCAGTGTTAACCTACATGTAGCAAAATTCATAGTTCGACTTCTTAACAAGCTTGCAATTCAGAGGATCCAGTGGCATTCAGAAGACAAATGTATGTAGTACAAAACATCAGGTTTGGAACCATTTTCTTTACCAGAGAGCACGATAGCAGCATTTTTTGAAAATTGTGTTTATTGTTGTCATAGTGAAATCCAGCTCTAGACCTAGAGTTCCTAAATTCAGCATGATGCCAACTACACAATGACGGCATGACTTCAGTGGTCTGTGTTGGTTCGGGCAACAGGAATGAAGACTGTGCCAGATCAAAGCTGAGTAAATGAAAACGAGCATGTGACTTGCAGGATGGTTGTTCGATGATATGAATGTTTGTTTTTCCTCCATCACCTTGTTAGACATTTCAATTGAGGCTTACACGTCAACTAAACACTACTAAAAAGACAAACGTCAAATAAACCTTTGGTACAAATTACAAGATAATTTTCTTGTGTGTGATGTACGAAGTGTTTTTATGTTTTACTGTGTAAAATGTTAAAACAAGGACACACAGTGTCAGTGATGTGAAGCAATACTATTATGAAACATGAGTCTACTTGAGTGCCAATGGCACCCCCTTGTGGAGAATCTTCAGCTTGCTAAATGTGAGTAAGTATGTGGTCCCTGAAGTGCTTTGTATCTAAAACCATTCAACAAGATAAAGAAGTCTGTTTTATAAGTTTGATAAATAGGTCTTTATTAAACACTTTACAATATTTACATTGTGTACATTAAAAAGATATTGATGATTCCTGGTTGCACCCAAGGGAGGCATAAGGATTGTTGCCTTAATATTTTTCATGGTGGTCAGCTCTAGGGAGATATTAAAAATAAAAATGCTTAAGAGCTGGGGCTACACAATGAATAATGTACAGCAATGAAGGTAAACTATACATTACTATATTAGAGACTGTACATTGGAAGAACATCAGTTAGGCAAAAAGGAATTAAAAAGATTTCATTCACACCAAAAATGAAAACATACTGTACACAAGACCCTCAGCATATAAATAAATGCTGACAATATACCAGCTGAGTAAACTGAAGAAAAGGGCAGTTTTTGTTTTAAGTCTCAATTCTAAGGACTCCATCGGTCTTTGTGCATTCATTAAATCCTAGAATTATTAGGACAAAGCAGATCTTTACAGTTACTGTTTCCAGACCCACATGTCACTGTTGTCTAAAGAAAACCTTGCATCTCCATTTTTGTCATTTTTCAGTTTTTGACATAATTTGAAAGTGGCTGTTGCCCTTTACATTGTGTGTAAATTTCATTAAGAATGGACCAAAAGAAATGGGTTAAAATTACCTGGAAAAAAATCTTGTTCCATTGACTTGCATTAAAAGTAGATATGGTTTTTTCCTTCTCCTGTAAAGTTACCATTTTGGAGATAAGAGGTTTTCTTCCGACAACAGTAATATAGTAGTTATAAGGGCTGACTGGTCCTGCTGTGTTCTTAAACATTTCATATTTCATAAAAACATCACCTTTCTTAAAAGTTCTACACCCACTTTCTGCTCATTTGATGTTTCAGTCCAATCAGAAGGTTGTAGGTAGTGCAATATGTAAATAGAGTGTAGATGTCATTTGAAACTGACCTCTGTGTTATTCTTTATTACAACACAGTTTGTGGCTTAAAAAGCCTCCCTGCTGTTAACCTTCTCTGTGCAGCAGTTCAATATGTCCCCTTTACTGCCAGAGTTCACTCATCATGCTTATCTGCTGTGCAGTGTACTTTGTCCTCTGCTTTACAGCGTGTCTGTCAGAATTCCATGTGTAACAGTTTGTGTTCTGGTCGTCCTCTCTGAGGCCATCTGCTGGTGGATGTTAAAAATGGAGATGAGGAGGAGAAAGACAACAACCAGGTCATCTAGAAGCCCCACTGCCCCATTGACGGGTCCAGACATGGCCTCCAGTGGAGAGACAAGTGAGGCGGCCGCCCCAAACCCGCACACTGCCACCCTCAGCAGGAAGAGCCACACCAGTCCTCCCATATTCCCCAGAGTCCGCAACGAGAGCAGCAGGAAGAGAGGAGCATCACACAGGTAATCACTCACCTGCAAGGGAGAATGAGGTGTGTGAGACATCTCCGTCTTAGCTGGTCACTTTAACCCTTAAATGTATGCCACAAATGGGCTAGAAAACCATGACGTCATTTGTCCCTTCTACCCTGTCCATTTTTTTCAAGAAAATACCAAACTAAAATAATATTGTATTATTGTCAATTAAATGTTTTCACAGTTGTACACTGTGGTGGAAGCTGTGTTTGGTAAAGGGTAGTAGAGTACCGTGGGCATAAAAACCCCCTGGATGTTTCTTTATCCCAGAATACTAAATTGTATCAAACAGCAATAAAGCCCTCACGTAAAAACACTTGCTCATCACCGAGTACTGTGAATTATTGCTGATCCATATTTTCTCAACGTGCAGTGGTGGAAGATTCATTTCAAAAATATAGATTTATGTTAGGTATATACCTAAGGTATAAGGTATATACCTTTTGACAAAAGCCTTGTTTTTTAAACAGTGCTCATTGATGAAAACATTATTAAATCATTTAATAATTAAAGGGCCCATATCATGAAAAACTGAACTGAGTTTGATGTAGCATGTAAACGCTGTAAAGGTTTAGAATCTGTTCACTTCCCAGTCCATATATATAACCACACTGCAAAAACAGCCAGTTTTGAATTCATTGTCTATGTGATGTCACTAAAACCGACGTATTTACATATATCCATATTTACATACATCCACCTATTCAATAATAACCCATTCACACTGAAGTTATGCATAATGCAGTGCAGCCAATGAAAACAGGTCATTTACATATATCAGTGATGCATACAACCACACACACATTATATACAGACCATTGTAATTATTAAATACATTAAAATAATTATTGCCTTATAAATGTATTGAATACTGTGTTTATTGGTATGCCAGCTCACATAGCTGACTTTTAGCCACATTTTTCTTAAGGGGAGCCTTAAGCCATGTGGTACCTATGAAGTGAAAATCCAAAATAAGGCCTGCTATAATGTTTTTATTGTCTAGATTCCACTCTCTTTACATTTGTATATTTGCATGAACCTACCAAAATAACCTGACATTTCACTGCGCATTGAATCAGAATCAGTCCGTATCATCGTGGGGTCACAATCAGAATCAGTTTTATAGCTTCTGCCAGTAACCAGCTCCATATTACCCATAAAAGGTGTAGTGAAAGGGCGTGTGCTTTTGTATGTAGATAATGGAAATTAATGTGTTTATAGACCCAATAAAACACACAGAAGTAATAAAGCGCAGTAAATCTGACCTGTCTCTAACAGAGAAATGAAAATTTAATATGGAGAGTTGATGAAGTGGAACTCACCCTTCGTGGTGCTCCAGAATAGCGTTTATTATAATCTCTTATGTGGCCCAACACCTCTCTCTGCTTCCTGTCCACTCTGCTCTCACCAAAGAGATGATTCATTACACTAACCTAGGAGAAACCAGGAGAAACAACCAACATGAGACAAATATAATAAAAAACAAGGAAATGACTGAAGGAAATAAGGAACACTGAAGGTGTACTAATCACTACCGGAGTGCTGAGTAAGATCGCTATACTGATTACAGTTTCTTGTAAGTGACAATTGACAGGATTACCACAGACTATAATGGCTGAGTTCTATAATGAGTGCTTCATACCTTCTGTCTGCACAATGGACAGCTGATAGCGTCTAACCAGGAGCCGTGCTTCCAGTAAGATATCAGACAAGGAGCTTGAGAGAGAGCGAGAAAGAGAGAGAGAGAGTTAATAATCATAATCATAATAGCCATAAACAATGACAACACCACAGAAAACATAACCTTTTCTCCAGTTTTCCATAGAAAAACCCACAGACACACTCAGCTTGTATGACATCCATAGAAAAGCATTGCCAATAGAATGAGACACTCGCTGGAATGATGAAGCACCATCGAATACATATGAAATGAGTTAGAGTGATGTTTGTGATCCAGAACTGATCATCCAACATCAGTACCTGACCTCACTAATGCTCTTGTGGCTGAATGCAATCAAATCCTCATAGCAATGTTCTAACATCTAGTATAAAGCCTTTCTAGAAGAGCAGAGGCTGTTACTGCAGCAAAGGAGGAACAAATTCTGTATAATACCCTTTATTTTTGTCCTTTTAGACAGGTAAGTGTGTAATGCAGTAATATAAAAAAATATATTAATTATTTGTTCATTAAATAATACAATGAATCATTAAATATGTATAAATCTGTGCTAATAAAATACATTTCTTTATAATTTCTTTCATTTCTTTAATATTTGTGCACACAACCTAATTATGAAATAATGCATATACTGCCGTTGTTGAGATGACAGACTGAGATAATCCTGTACAGAATTGACAGGTTGTGTCGGCCAGTTTAAGCTGTTTGGGGTCAGAGTTTACTGGCACCAAAGCAAGGCTTTTCACCTCCAAGTTTCTTGGAGTTGTTCCAGAAGTAACATGACTAATTAAGGCTTTATTAATAATCTATCAGTCTCATTTGCAGCTTATCAAAGATGAGTGAGGGTCAGGTCAAGTTGTGTGAACATGTTGATGTTGACCTTACTGAACAGTGTTTTTAAACAGTGGCTTTATTCTCAGCACATTTTCGGTCATCAACTTTAAAAAAGGACTTTGTAAGAGTCATTCTTGGCTAATTTTATTGAGACAAAATAGTGACTTTTACCTTGTCGGCATTATTAATTGTAGTCATTTTATGGATCACATTTACTTTTAAACAGAAGGCTAATAAATACCTGGCATTGAGCTATCAGCATAACTCTATTTACCTTTCTAAATGGAGCTGGGGAGGGTTACACAGCCAGCCTTGCAGACTAAATAAGTTACCTGATAGGTCACATTATCTGAAGAGACAGTGTGAAGGCGAGGTGAAGGTGTGAGACAGAAAAAGGTTAACTGGTAGTTTGCTATCTGTCTCCAGGCTGATAAATCTTGACCCGTTTTCTGTGCCACAATGCTTGACTGGAAAAATAGATCTCAGCTTCTTTTGATTTCAGAATGCTATGGAATAGTGTAGCTGTTGCTATAGCGACATATTTCATATATATATCAAACTGAACATGATGCTTCTGGCACACTGTCAAAACACACTTCGTCAATAGTGGAGTGCGTGATCATCAGTCTCGCTCACTCTTGGCAGAAAAGCGAGTAGACGTGTGATTTGTATCATGTGACTTTGGGAACCACTGTCGCTACAGCAACAGTTAAATATTAAACTCCATGGACTGGGCTTAGTCATGTGACCCGCTGACTGTTCCTTGTGGTGAGAGCTTGTCCTGCCCTCCACCATCTGCTCTCTCACACAGATCAGGATACTGTACTTGCATCCAGTGCTTAAGCTGAGACACCTATGTGACGGGAGTCGTGTTACAGCAAGCTACCAACAGCAAACACATGGCCATTTGGTCTCATAGTGCAAGATGCACTAAACTGTGCCTTTTAGTTTCTGTACTAGACATTGGGAGCCATTTTTTAGCACATTTGTAAAGGGCGTTAAAATACAAAACTATTTTTCCTACTCCATATAACAGTATGGACAGAATGGCTGCTGGTTCAGTGGTCCTGGAGGCCCACCGCTCTGCACATTATGACGCTGCTGCCATACCTGATCCAACTAATCAGCTCATTAACAAGCCCTTCCCAAACTTAAGCAGGTATGCTGGACATGGGTACTTCAAGGCCAGGGTTCAAAACCTGTCCTCTAGATCACTGCTTGGAGTCTGAGACAACTTATAAAAATCAGCACTGGTGCCAGATTGTTATCCTAATATCATCTATGTAACAGTATTGATTTTGACCAAAATTGGTTAACAGGATCTAGATCATCCAGACCTTAAGACAGTGGGCTTTTCAAGGGTTCTTTATTAAAATCAATGGTTAAGTATAGTATGTATTGAGTGCTACTGGTTAAATTATATGCTTTGTTGACTTTATAAGTGAAAATATGTTAATGCACAAGTTGTGCCATGGCTAACTTCAATAAACCTAAGTATAGCTCAGTCAGTTTGCATTAAAGTCCCTGTAGTTACTGAATAGTAAGCCTTAGTATGTAATAAGCCTGGTATTTTAAGGGGTTCAGGAACATTTTAAACGGTTCTCTATAGCTCAAAAAGACTTCCATTATTGTTACAAGTCCCAGAACCATTTTTGAAACTATAAAGAAGCCTTTTTGGTTACACTGTAGCCTGACCAGAGATTTGCATGTAAAATGCATTACTCACCACAGAATAGATGGCCGCAGTTTGTCTCCACAGGAAATGTGGATAGCTGTAAACACACAGGGCAGTGAAGGTCCCTGCTGCCCGCAAGTATACATGACTGAGAGAGGTCCTGCAAAGACAGGGTAAAGAGGTGTTACTATAATAGAAAATTAAAACTTAGCGAGACTGGTTGAGCAATGTAGGATCTCAGCCAAGGATCATACAGATCTTTTTGTGCATTTTTCAGCATTTTTTTTAATCTTTTAGATTTCTTTTCAAGTGAAGTTGAAAGATTTATCATTTTATAGATTTATCATTAGGTAAATAAAAAAAAAATCATGTAAATAGCAAATACAAAGCAGTTTGGTTCATAAGGGGTAAAGTTAGATAAAGGAAGTGTTATTATTGTATTGCTAGTAACAAAATGGAATATTCAATCATTTATTTTAATTAAAGAAACATAATTAAGGTGTTGGCTCACACAAAGCAAAATGATTTTAGTCTAAAGTCCAAGTTAAAAGTCTGAAATGTGTTTTAAACTCTGACTTTGGACCAGTTCGGTAGAATGATCAATATATAGTTATCTAGTGCAGGATACAGAGAAGAACCAGTCGCTTGTTGTATTTGTGTATGATAGTTGAGTATGAACATCAGTAGTGTGTTAAAAGGCTGTGAAATGGTTCATACAATTTAAAGGTAAAGCATAGTCTTGGTCCTTTGAAGAGCTTTTTTGCTTGATGGACTGGATTATGTTTTTTTTACATATATATTACGGGATTAAATGTATGTTTGAGTGTAATATATAAATATAATAAACCACTTAAATGGCTGTAAAACATTAATACAGTTTAAACACAATATTTAATACATAAATACATAACTTATGTATGTGCGTTCCATGAACTACAAAAGCATACTCCGGTCCAGGTTATCTAAGGATATTCTCCCTCTCTCCCTCTCTCCCTCCCTTCCGCCCTCCCCCTCTCTCTTTCTCTACTCTTTCCTTCTCTCTCTCTTACTCTTTGTATGTGTTTATGTTTGTGTGTGTGCATGTGTGTGTGTGTGTGTGTTACCTCTCTGTTGCCCATGTGCTGGCCTTGTGCTTGACCCTGACCCTGGCTCTCTGAGATGAGAGGAGACCTAAAAAAATGTGAGAAAAGAAAACTGATCACTAGAGTAATAAACTCATTTACACAGCAGTGATATAAAGGGAAGGCTGTTGTTATCAGTGAGCCATCATAAAAACTAAAGAACCTGCACCTTAAAAAAATCAAAACATACACTTCACCAGTCACAGGATATCTGAAGTTCTCTGTATGAGACATGGAATGTGAATTCATATCTTCCTGTGTCTGATTCATAGATGTCCTGCATTACTCACAGCAGTTAATACAGTGACACACTGTCCAGTAACCCAGGGACCACTCTCACTGTGGCTGTATGTTATCACAAACACCTCTGACCACTGCAAGAGCCTCTGATTATTAGAAATGTCTTTTTAATTCTTATTTTCAAATTATGGGTGATGACTCTCTACATAATCCCAGCAAGTGGCCTTAAACACTCATATTCTGTGTTTTCCTTGTGTTTGTTTCCCGAGGCTGACACCTGATGCTTGTGTGGTTTGCATACTAAACATGGTCATAATTCATTTTTACATGACCATTTTCCAACCTCTCTTCATCCCTTACACCTAAACATGCCTTTTACTGTGCCTGTAAGACATGTAAATGAGCTCTGTTCTGATTGGCTGTCCTGTATCGCTTCTAACTTTACCATGGAGATGCGGAGCTAAACCTCTGTCAGCTGAACAGGAGGATATATGTAAATGCATTTGTTGAAACAATTATTTAAAACAGGGCAGTTTTGTTTACTATATGAACTGGGGAGTCATACAACATCAAACTCTTTTATTAAAAAAGGAAAGAAAATTCGGTTTTCCAAGGAAAGGCTTTAGAATCAAAAGCAGAATAAAAGTTTCAGATTCTAATCCTGTAACGGTTTTTGTCTATGTAAACTCTTTACTGTGATGATTTGTGCTGCCAAGCTGTATTGGAGCCAACGTACGTGTTTTTTTTTTTATTGCCTCAATAAACTATGACACAATTAATACTATGTGCCACACCGTATCAACACTAACATCTGGCTGCACGTACAACAAGTGCAACTGCTCTGCTGGACTGACGAGCATATAAAAAACTTGTCTATTTGGTTCAGTGAAGGCTCTTAATGGTGTGAATGTACAGACATGTAGAGAGATGATAGATGTTTAGGCACCACACAGATTTGATAGACTTAATGGAACTTCAGATTGCTTTACACACATTTCAAACATTAATAATGTTTGTACAGTAAAATGGGATATTCACATGTAAATGAATGCAGAGTAGGTATGACATCAGACATCATAATGTAAATTACGAGTTAACATATTGGGACAAAACCTTGTGTCTCCAAAATGATAACTTTATATGGGAAAGAAAAAACCTACTATACTTTTAATGTAAGTCAGTGGAACCAGACTTTTTACCAAGTAATTTCTACCTTTACTTTTGATCCATTCATCATGAAATTTACCGACAATGAAAAGAGCAACAGGCATTTTCACATTATGTCAAAAATAAAAAACGACAAAAATGGAGATAAGTTTTGTTCCGACAGCAGAGATATGTATAATGCATGCTGTCCATTAATGTAATATGTGTAATTTCTGAGATAAATCATATCTACCATAAAGCGGAGATAAAACATTAATATTGGGAGCCTCTTACCTGTTGTAGGAGCTGTGACAGGGGTGCATGTTCATGTGAAGTGTGTCTTGGCTCAGGGAGAGAAGGAAATGCTGTCTGACTGCATCACTGTATTCCATAAATTTGACAGACTAGTCAATTATTAACTAGAGCTTTGGGTTCCTGTCAGAGTGTCTCTTCTCTATGCAGCACAGCCCAAAATCTGACTTGAGGCCTTTTCAAAAGAAGAGCCTGACTTTGCTTTACATATAAACATAGTGTTAATAAAGGGAATGTGAACATTGATACATTCTTGCCTTATTAGGTAATAACTATCCATGAAATAGTGCCGTTCCCACCGTCTGCCAGGATACACTCTATTTTGGTCATGTGACCACCCATGCAAGGTCAAAGACTAACAGTCTCCACCTACTAACACGAAGTAGGTTAGGCCCAATAAAATCAGCCTATTTTGCCAATCATTTACTGTAGGTTTACATTGTGTAATACCTCACAAACGTCCCTGGAGTGTAGCCTCTGGAATCTGGCATAAGATATTAAAATACACTTTTACTATATTCCACTCAGAACTCTTTCAGTTGCAAAATCTGGAAGAATGTATTTTTAAAAAAACATGTAACCCTAAATAAATATTTTATATTATATTTTATTGCCAAATCACAGTGGTGTGCAAAAGTCAGAGACCACGCTTTTGTTTATTTAAGTACATGATTACATTACAAGTTATTTATTAAAAACAGAAAACATATTTAAGAGAAAATTAACCTCCAAAACATGGTATTATATCAAATCTAGCAGTGTTTATTTTCTCCACTCTTTACTTTTGTGCACATTCTGCCACTTTAACTCTTCCATTCTTCCATTCTTAAAACTGACCAGTTGTAGCTGTGTCCTCCCAACAAAAGCTGTTCTCTAAGATCCAAGATCTCAGTGACATTGTGTTCCCCTTTAAACTGACACTAACATTCACACAAGCAGTGACCAAAACTCACCACAGCTGCATTTCAACCAGAGTTGGCCAGTGTCACCCTAGCGTGAAGCATGGCCACCCTTCTGGCCACCCTCGAAAGTGTCATCAATCATCATCAGCAGTAATTACACTTTGTGGTGAAACTCTGCCATCTGCAATCATACCAATCAGTTATGAGAGTCTGATGATGCTGTATTTAATAGTTAGCGTATCTTGCTGTGTAATTTGCATGAATGTGTGCTGTAGCTCTGTGAGCTACATTATGAAGTAGGATATGCATTGGTAAGATGAGTTAACTGTCAGAAATTATATCTATAATCATTTATCATGCTAACTAATCAGTTTTTTCAATCAAACACATGCATGTGTTGTAGATAACCTTATATAGTACTGTCTGGCTAGCTTTCTGGTCATTAGACTAGTGAGAGCAGCCTCTATGGCCAATCTGTATGAAATGTTTATCTTAAAGTTAACATTGTGATCTGAAGAAGTGCTACATTTTATATACTTGATTTGAATACATCATTTTCTCATGAATGACTGCAATACATTAGATCGACAACAGTATTTTAATATTATACTATATTTAGTAGTAATGTTTTATTCATGTAGAAATTATGGACAATGATGGAAAACCTCGTATCTCAGTTTTTGTCATTTTTCAGACATAATATGAAAATGCCTGTTGCCCTTTACATTGTGTGTACATTTCATGAAGAATGGACAAAAAGAAATGGCCCAGAATTACTTGGAAAAAAGTCTGGTTCTATTGACTTACATTAAAAGTAAAGTACGTTTTTTCCTTCTCCTGTAAAGTTATCACTTTGGAGACAACAGCGATATTAAGAAAAACCAACACATCAATTCTTATGTCATTTTAATACAGTAACACTATTTTGATTTGCTTTTTTCAACAAAATAAAACAAAAACTGTCACCGATAAACAGATAAAACAGTACTTAAAGCTTTCATTTTTAAGAGACAGGACAAAATCAAGCTCCATTCTTGCTTCAGTGCTTCAGATCTGAAAAAATCCACATAGTGTCAACGCTATGAGTTTGATGGAATGTGTAGCTGTTAAGAAGCTGTTACTGAGAAAAAGGAAATAGACAAATAAGAAGAAAACTAGTACTGGAGCACAGAAACTGGACAGTAGTGATAAAAAACATTGAGCCCATACATTACAGTGATTTCACCACAGTTGAGAAGTATTTACAGTCTTAGCTTAGCTTAATAATGTTTTTATTGCAGTTATGAAGTGGCAACAAAATCCAAAATGACAAAATTCACAAATGTTTAATAAATAATTTAATCTAGAATTAATTACAATAGCAGCAGTTCTGCCATACTATGCAGTTCATTAACAGTGGTTGCTAAGCAACGAAACAAAGTTTATTCCATGAATAGCACAATTATTGTAAGCTTAATGCTTTTTACAACTTGGCGCATTAATACAGAACACAGCGTTTGTGTGCAGACGTGTGATCGTACTGATTACACCAACTTCACAACAGCTTAAATAGCTGTGCTTTTTAAATGAAAATAGAAATCTTGTACATCTCAATGAAATCATCTCCTAGTCTGATGTCCGAGTCTAAAAGTCAAAGACGTGCTTGAAACTAAAGTGTTTGAAACTGGCTGAAAGTGGTGACATCAGTATCCAAGACTTAGAGACAATATTCAGTATTCAGTTTTCTTGAACTTTGCTTTGATTGCTTTTCTTAAATTTGTTCTTGAGAAAGGTCCTAAGAAAATGTCTACATCAGATTCATGACGTGTTCTTAAACCGCAGACTTGTTCGCACCTTTGTGCTCTTGAGTGTGAGTAGATTCTGTTCTTACCTAAGAACAAATCCCAAATAAGAGAACACTGGTGAATGTCAGAATCAGATGGGTTTTAAGAAGAAATTCATCTTAACCTTTAATGTCCTCACCAAGAAAAAAGCAATGGATTTTTTTTGTATTTTTTATTTGTTTGGGGCAATAATATAAACAATTGCTGGGTTTTTTTTCCACTTTTTTGAAATATTCACATCTACCAAACGGTTGAGATGGCACTTTGTGGCATATATAGCGATTCAAAATATGCTCTACCAAATGGTTGAGCAGAACATGAAAGGGTTAAGAATGGTTGGTGAATGAGGCCCATTGTCGTAGCCTACTGCTTATCTGAAAAAAGTCAGTTTGAATTCTAATCACGATACAGCCTATATAGGGGACACATATCAAAAAGTTCTCTACCTAAAGATTAAGTAATACATATAACCATGTCAACTATAAGAAAACAGTTTTATTAAAAAAGCTTTTTTGTTGTTATTTCCTATTAAACATAGATTTATATGAAAGTAAATCATGATTGCATAAAATCAGGCTTTACGAAATACCAAACATTTCTACATCCTGTGGCGTGAGACACAGCACACACTTTGGCCACCTTCCTCTGTTTCCCCCTCCACCTGTGGCTAAAGTGGTGCCTCTTAACTAAACCTTTCCTTGGCTAATATTTATCTTTCGCATTTTTCCCAAAAGCAGAAGGTCAGATCAGCTAAAAATAGCAGTTATTGACCCACCAGGACCTTGACAGAGTGTAGGTTGATGACCCCCGAGTAAATGACTAGCCCCGCTTCTTGTGTGGGTGCAGGGCTGAATGTTGCGAAAGTCCACATCGTGTCACCGGTCTGCCCCACATTTCATCAGCCTCTGAGGATGCCGAGTCCATATTGACCATATGGTTATTTTCAGCACTTACCTGACCTGAGCCTCAGGTAGGCTTTATGGAAGGATGTTCAGGGGTTAAAGTGACACTGTTAAGCTTCTGATCCAAGACCTGATTCCTTAACAGTTGTAGCTCGAGAGGGTTTGTTTTATTGTTGTAGAGTGAATGAAAACTACATGGGTGTGAATGTGAGCCCACTACTGAGTTGAAGGGGAATTCCACGGATTTTTTCAAAATTTCTACATAATTAAATGGTTAAGATGTAAACAAAGTCATTCAGAGTGGTTTGGTGTGAAACGCTCCATTCTAGAGAAACTTCCCAAGTCTGAATTGTTCACAGTGGTGGTGATAGGAACCAGATGTCTGAAGAGTTTAATACCTCTAAAAGCTCCCTCTCTCAAGTTGGTACATGAAATGCTTATGATAACAGATACAAATACAAATTACAATGTCTGAGACATCGTTTTATGATAATTTAGAAATAAGAGTTTGGCATAAAATGTATTTTAAATAAAGATCCAATTCCCTTTTTGAGTTGATTGATTGTGGATCATTTAGTAATTGCAGACTTCTTTCTTTTTTAATATTATCTTTTATATGTGTTATTTCACTAGTTTTTACTGCCTTTTATAAGTATGGGTAAGTATCACAAAAAAAAAAATCTGATGTCAGTACATCGATAGTGTTACTTCTATACTGATTCCTGAATGATACTTTTTTTGGTAGCTTCTCTTTAATTACAAACTGAAAGTGAGTGTGGCTTAGACATTTAGTGTGGGGTGCTGGGGTGGGTTTATTTACTGACCTCAAAATATTACACATTAATCAAGAAGCCCTGACAATAATAACATGCATACAGAGTGTAATTTGGACAGTTAGTAAATTTTGAAACAAGCGTGCTTATTGGCTTATGAGTTCTGACTACTGAGGTTTTAAAATTCAGTATTTAATGACATAGAAAAGTAATTACATTGGTCCTGTAAGTGTATTGAATTTTGATTCCCAGCCAATAAGATATAGTCAACAGTATTATAAGTCTTGAGTGTTTAATTTTTAAAAGGTGTGATATAAGCACAATTATTATTATTATTATTATTATTATTAACATTAGAATTTTTGTACAAAGCAATCTTGCATTTGATGTTTTCTTGGCAGAAGGTAGAATAGAATACAATGAGACAAACGCATGATAACTAAAATAAATCATGCCGTTAAAATGTGATGTGCAGCTACATTCTGCATGTTTTTATGGAGAGGCAATTTGCCTTATTCGCATGCTCTTCACTCCAGGCCTTAAATCTCTTGCGTTTACATTATGAGAAAGTAATAAAAGATTCTGCACAGCCACGCAATGTTCACACGATGAGCATGATCCTTCAGTAGTTTACCTTATCTAATCTTATGACCTGACCCCATTTCTTTTGACATTTGTATAGAAAGCCTGGCGAATATGAAATAATTTCATTTAAGATTAATAGAAAGGTCTAGAAATAAGCTCAACAATATGTGCAACGTGTGAAAAAATTATCTTTTGCAGCTTACATCATCAACACTCACTTTATTTTCCTTTATCAAGTTCTGTTTGTACTTTCACACTTTAAAAACACAGGCACTATGT